TGCAAATAAACCAGTGAGAGATGTGGCTAAAAATGTTTTCCTGACACAGACAATTTCTCACCTCATTACTTTATCCTCTTTTTAATAGATTTGTTTTTTTTATTGGGATGCTTTAAAGAAGTTTATAACTCAATCCAGCTCAATACAGGCGAGTTGAAGACAGCAAGTAGCCTGCCACACGTCCATGCTGCCAGGACTTTTGAGTAAGAGGCCTCATTTTACACTTTGTGCCATTTCTAGGAATAATCAGAGAATAGAGTATTGGGTGTTTGTATGTTTGAATGAAGATTGGTTTCTTGAGCTATGCTTTCTCCTAGAATATTCTTTTCAATTAACTTCAGACAGAACCTGTGGATAATTAATATGGAGTTATACTTCTATTCACTGGAAAATAACTTCCAGTCCAGGTTTGTAAGATACCCTGGCACTGGGACCAGGGTCTATCCTCCTCAGGTAAGGAAAGGGGATGGAGCTATTAAATTAGATCTGATAGATTATTTTTTTTTTCTGAATTGGAACTGCATAGATTCTCAACAGTTAAATCACTTTTCTTGATCATCTCTTATGAACTAGAGAGTGGGAAGTAAGAAAAAAAAATAGAGAATGGGAAGTGTTGAAGTGCAAGTATACAGATAAGCATAAAAATATAGAAATAGAGAATATAAAATATTACATATAATATTTATTTTAGATAAAACATGACACATTATGATATACATTACATATAATTATTCTATATTGTATTTATATATAAAATATAGAAATATAGCAACTGACAGTACAAGAGGACAGTCTCAAGGTACGTCAGGGAAGGCATAGGTTGGATATTAAGAAAAAAAATTTCACTGAAAGAACAATAAAGTACTGAAACTGTCTTCCCAGGGAGGTGGTAGAATCACCATCTCTGGATGTGTTTAACAAAAAGACTGGACATGGCATTTGGTGCTATAGTCTAGTTGAGGTGTTAGGGCATAGGTTGGACTTGATGATCTTAGAGGTCTCTTCCAATCTCATTATTCTGTGATTCTGTGAATATAAAAGTAGATGGAAGTATAAAACTTAGGATGTTTGTGGTGAGTATTGAAAGGAAGAAACAATCTTTTTTTTGGGTGTCTTTACAACCATCAACTTAACTGTATCATTGCTGGGCTAACACTCACCTGGTGATAAATTCCTGGGTGTAGGAAACACTTCACACGTGGCATTCTGGGTGACAGATTAACCTTGTGTGTGAGTGTGGACCATAATAAACTTTCACTGAACTAAAAATGTAAGGCTGTAAGAAAGCATGTCAATTCATGGGTTTGTTTCCTGCTCCAAAGCAGCAGGACTGAGGGAGGCTTGGAAAAATGTTTTCTTCTTTAATAAAGAAAGAGAAACACGACTCAAAGCTCTGTGGTATGAAGTCACCATGCTCTCTGTTACTCACTCCCATTATCTCTTCTGCAATCTCCTCCCAGAGGAGCTCCCTGGAAGCTTATCCCTGTCTAAGAGTTATTTAAAAGAATAAAATAACAATGATGGTATAGAGGAAGGGAAGAGTGGTGTAAGAGTCTGGGGCTGTATGAAAATCCTTCCTGCATGCAGGAGCTAGAACAATGTGGCATTGTGTGTGGGGAGGGTGGGGATGGGGAGCCAACACCTGGACCCAGAGCTGAGGGGAACTGCCCCACCATAACTCACAAATACAGCCTGAAAGGCAACAGCCTGAGCCTGAGGTTATTTTACAGCCACACCAGGCAAGTTGCAGGCAGACAAAGCCCTTCTGCTGGAAGCACTGAAAGAAAGTGGATTTCCTGTCCATCTGCCTGGAGGAACTGTGTGGGTCCAGTAGGCTGAGCCCAGTAACTGATGCAGACTTACTTCTTGGAGGGGCTCTGCACTTTCCTCAAGGGAAGGGAATTATCCAAAATATGAGATAGTGGCTGATGAAACTTAATATGAGCACTGCTAGAGGTGGGGGAAGAAAATGGGGTAATTGAAAAATGGTGTGTTCTGTAAAATGCCCTGATTTGTTGTGTGATTTGTGCTTGTTTCCATGCATAGGAAATCCTACAGGAAGTAGGATTGGTGAGCTTTGCTCATGTAGAATGTGTCCCAGTCAAAATCTCTGGCTGTGAAATGTTTGCTAAAGGGCTCTCTTGTTTCCCAGACAGTGTGAACTGGAGGGTTTGGTTCCTTATTCACAGCAGGTCTATGACATTTTTTACTGGGAGGGTGGTGAGGCCCTGGCACAGGTTGCCCAGAGAAGTTGTGGACACGTTCAAGGCAACATTGGACTGGCCTTGGGTTATCTTTGGAGTTTAAGTAGCTCCACTGACTGGAAAAATCCCTGGCTTAAAGCTGTGGAATGGCCTGGAGGAGCTGAGGACTAACAATGGAGGAGTCGTGGGATACAGAACCTGTAAAACAAATCAGGGCCTCTGCTCCACTGGCATCTGGCTGGAAAGATAAAGAGTCCATGAAGTCTCTGATTCTAAGGAAAGCACTTCTCTTGCTCTATTGAGAAGAGGCAGCACAGATATAAAGGGTTCCAGCACATATTTTTGTGTTTAGACAGATATCCTCATTCCCTGTGGGCTGTTTGCACTGGCAGAAAGTCTCACTGCTTTGCTTGCCTGTGCTTCCTGGGGAATTCCTGCCAGACTCCTCTGATGCCACGGGGAGACTGTGTGCTCAGATTATTTATTGAGAATAAAGCGTGGAAAACATTGCCAAACATCCCCAGGTAGCTTCCCTCTCTTCTGTGAGGAGAATACAGCCTGATGTGCATTTCTGAGAAAAGTAATTGCAGGTCAAAGATTTTGCTCCCAGACCACAGGACTTTCCTGGAAGATTCTTGGCACCAGAGGTTCAGAGGTCAAATGCTTTGATGTCAGGAGTGAAATGTTCCTTCTCAAAACACTAAAATCTTAGAGTGAGCAGATGGTTAAATGAAGAAATTGCCTAAGCACAAGAAGATCTCACAGTTGACTCATACCTTATTTCTCAAAATTCAGAGCAAGAGCTGCTTAGGAGCTGTAATTACGGGTACAGGCCGAGATCACATTGATTAGTTTTTGAGTAAATTAGGATTCATTATGCTACCATTGACACTTCCTTGAAAGGGAAGATTTATTAGCCTTTCATCTGGGTGAGGAGCTGGTTTTGGTTTATGTTAGCAGCCAAGAGCCCAAAAGTTTTCATCTCAAAAGAAGCTGCTCCTGCAGGCTGCAAACTTTTTGACCACAGTGGAGAGGAGGAGATGTACAGTGTTAAATGGCTTAAGAGGTTACAAGGATAGAAGTAAAGAAGAACTCCTGCTCCATGGTGATTTGTGTCCCAGGAGAAGAAGGTAGGAGATATGAGCACCAGAGCTCTTCACAAAATACAGTTTTCTTTAGTCTTGGCCAAGGGTTTAGTCAGAAGTCTAATCAGAAGGCACCAAGGTTCAAGAAGTAAAGCCAAAGACATTTTCTGTTCTTAAAGATAAACTTCTCATCTGTGCATAGGGAATTTTTTTAGCCACCTAGTTTTATGTCAGCTGAGTAGTGGGATCATGAACCTGTTTCTAACATGAGGTTTGTTAAACAAAGGAATGGTGCTTTGTCATTGTCCACCCTTTTCACTGCTGATGTCACTGGGATCTGACCATAACTCCCTGTCTGTACCAACTTCCATTTAAACATCTGCCACAAGGTGGATATTTGAGGGTAATTTTCCTTTCATAAAGATCTGAAGAGACAGGGCTAGGTCTAGCTCAGCGAGAGAACATGCATACCCCTAAATGTTATAACTGATTATTTAGTAGTTATTATATTCACAGAATTTACATGGGTTTACATCCATGCTGTGACTTCAAGTTTGTGGAGAGGCCCTGTGTGAGATATCCCTGATGCTGTTTTCTTATTTTTTTTTCTCAGGGGCAGAGGAGTGTTGGCATTTTGTCTTGTGCAACTGTTGTTTTTGGGAAAAGTGGATAAAAGCAAGTAGTGCAGTATGGGAAACCAGACACCAGCCTAATTCACTTCCTCAGTGCTGCTCAAAGTGCTCAAGTTTCTTTAGTTTTAAATAATTTATTTTTAAAAATAATTATTCTTTTAAATTGGTTTTGCACAAATACTTACTTTAAACTGTTGATATTTTCCATCCATCAGTCAGAGTTTGGAGATGTTGAAAAGGAATGTAATGTATGTTTTTTCTTAGTAGATACAGTAAGGAGCTCTTTGAAAAGAATACAGCATCCCTGTTTTTTTTTTTAAAGTTGATATTTATCAATTTTGAAGTCTTTTACAAGTGGAATCACCACTAACAGCTTTATAAACATATAATCCAGATATACAAATTTGTACCCAGCATATCTACAGTTCACATGCAACCACAACAGCAATGCATCAGAGTAAGGTGAAAGGCTATAGCTGCAAATATTTGTTACCCTTCAAATATTTGAACCAAAGTTTCAGTATTCTCAATGGTCATAATGTGGTACACTAGTGTAAAATTCTGCTTAAAATATGGCATTAATAGATGAAACAAAAATATATAAGAAATGGGAGCAGGCATTATGCTTTTCTAAGTCATGATCTGATACGCTACAATTCTGAGTTGAAAGTGGGGATAATTTAAAGTAGGAATGTTCCTAAATGTTCTTAAGACTTCTGGTGGTGCTGTGGCAGTTTACTGGAAAACTTGAAACCAAAATAGTGACATTTTAGCTGTTGTGTTGAGAGTTCAATCTCTGTGGTGCCTGCTGGGACATTTGGTAATGAATGCTTTGAAAAAATATTTGAAACTGAGATCTAGCAATTTAATTTCAGGATTTACAGTAAGCTTGGAAAAAATCTCCCTCTGCAAATTGCTGCCATCAACAAGGCACTGACCTTCTTGGACTGTCAGTGTGAAAGTCATCTCTTCTGAAACTGGTGAGCAGACTTCTGTGTACATATATTTTTAGTCTCACATTTTATTTAATAATCTTATTGTCTATTCATACAGGTGTCTAACTCATTTGGCAAGAAAAATCAGTGACAATCAAAGTATTTATTTCTCTCCAAGTAGGGCACAGGGAAAATGTGCATTGTCAAGCCCAAATGCAGACTGAATAGGTGTGACCAGGGGAAGCCTGGATGAGAACAGAGCTGCATATGCTGACTAGCAATCTGGATTTTCTGGATGTTTGAGACTCTTGACAACATTACTCCTGTTTTACATTCAGTGTTTGTTGTTTTTTTTCTGTAGACACATCTGTGGTAGTAAGACAGTTTGAGAGACAAAAATCAAAACCATGCTCTCCTTTGGCTTTTTTCCCTCCTGTGCTCTTTAATTGCCTCTGTAACCTCAAGCATCATGAACCTTTTAGAGACTATGGGCTACAGGATTGCCAGGCAGGGAGATCTCACTGTGTAGCTGATTCTAAGCAGTTGCACCCACATTCCGATCAATGGCTTTCTCCAAACTCCTCTCCCACTGCTGCAGGGACTACTCAGAGCTGGGGGAGGCAGCAGAGTCCACATCCTCCATGTCATGTTCATGTAGGGGCACTGCTTGGCCACCTTTAACACGTTTCCACTTCATCCTTCTGTTTTGAAACCATACTTTGACCTGGGTGATAAAGAGAAAATAATTACTTGTTGCCTCAACCTGAGGTGTATAAGCAGAGCTATGCATATGTGTGTAGAGAGATGATTTGTGGAATTCTGGAAGAAAAGGTGAACAGAGTTTGTCTAATCCATCTCTCTAACACAGAGTGGAACAATTCTTTCTAAAATGTTCCACACAGATGTTCCTCTGAAACCCTCAAAGGTAGTACACATGCTTTGCCTAGAATCTGTCTTCATGTCAAATAAGGCACAACGACTCTCATGTATTTTTAACATCTAGGCCATCCAGTCTAATGCTTCAGGAATTTTAATTTGCCTCACATAATAATGCAATTCTTCTGCTGTCCACGCAGCCTTGATAAGGAAACCTGGACTGAGATGACAATGAGAGAACAGAAACACTTCTCTCCACAAAACTGTATAATTGTCTTTCCTTACCACCTCAAAATACCACCTGACCCAGGAAGAATGCATGTATCAAATATTCATTTAAATAATTTCCTGTTAGTCAAAGTCTAAGGTGATATCCATATTGCATATGTAAACCTTGATATATCAATATGTACCAATGCATGGTGGTAAACAAGAACTCAGTAGAGACCAGTGATTACCAGGTCTATCTTTAGCTGAGAGAAACATAATTATATTATTAACTACTTACAGAAATGTGTAACGAAGGTGTCTGAAAGAATGTGGAGGCTTTGTTTTAAAATACCTCTGTGCCATTGCAAAAGCAGACCCTTGAGTAACAAATCTGGGGTTTAGCATTAGGGAGAGGTTGTGGGGGAGGGAGAAGGAGCAGGGAGGGTTTGGAAGTACTTGTCTTTCGGTGAGATCCAGGTTCACAGCGATCTCGTATCTCCTGAGCCTCGTCAAGTAGTTGTGGTGGGCAAATTCAGCTTCCAGCTCCCGCAGCTGCTCCTTGGTGAAAGCTGTCCTTTCCTTCCGTGACTTGCTGCTGGTTTCTGCCTTGTTGCTTGAGCTCTGGCTCTCTAAGAGGCAAGCACACTGGTGTGATTTGTGGTTGTGCTGGTGCATGTGAACGTGTGCAGGTGCAGAGATCTAAGCAGCTCCTTGAAGTGCTCAGTGGAAGCTTTAAGATGTTTCTTTATGCCCCCTCGAGCTCAGCGTGACTGAGTGGTGGTGCCAGCCTTGGTTTTGAGAGCACAGATTTGGGACAGCTCAGTCAGGATGGGGACTGGTGTCAGAATTGCCTGGGTCTGCACAGGCACAGAGCAGGAGCTGTGGGAAAGAAGCTCTCATTCCTTGCTGCCATTGTATCAAAAGTTTCCTTCCCCACATTTTTACTTTTATTCCTTGCACACACATTTTCACCCTGCCCCGATCTACCATGCAGCGGGCAGCCAAGTGCATGCAGCATGCAGGAGTGCAGGGTGCCCAGCTTTGGTGCAGGACATGAGAACAAATCACTCAGTGAGCACCTTCAGCTGTGGAGCATGGCCTGGAAATACCAGGGATGGGAGCAGTAGAACAAGCAAAAGCAGAGAAACAGTGGGTTTTGCCCAGATCCACCTTGAACATCCTGGTTTGTAACTTTTTCTAATCCTTGCTGAATGAAAACTACAAGCAGATCTGGTGTCTGTGTACATGACAGAATCATCCTTGTCATTGTGCTGTCCTGAAAAACCTGTTTGCTATTCCTGTACATTTCTGCAATGTAGTCAAGAGTTGTATTTCAAAGCCAAATTTCAAGGCATAGCCGAAGTGATGCTGTACCAATTATGATAATAAGCAAACACAAACTGACTTTGCCTGAGACTGTGGCATCCCTTTTTTTCATTTTTAAAAATATTTTCCTTTTCCTTTTCCTTTTCCTTTTCCTTTTCCTTTTCCTTGTTATTATTTTTATTTTGTTTTCTTTTCTCCTGTGTTTTTAAAATTGGTGCTCAAAGAATCTCCACACAATGCAAGGAAAAATGCATTTCTTTTAGTGATCAAAGTCCAAACTGCCAGTGTTTCAGGGAGTCAGTTTTGTGAGTTCCTTGACTCTTTCTCCCCTCTTGCTCCTCCTGCTAGATTCCCTCAACTAAACATGGTAGTAGCGTTTTTTTTATGCTGAGAATTAGTTACTTAATTTTTGTGTGTAACCAGTACACAACGCAGCTCTGTGTGTCCTAGAATAATATTTCTACACAGAAATGATAACCAAAATGGTAACAATATGAGCACAATGTGCAGCTTCATCTTCTAGGTGTCATTTTGGTGGCCAAAGCAGTAAAACTGGAGAAATCTGTGAGGTTTTGTGACTGACCTGGCCTTATCTGTGCCCATCAGAAAAGGAGAAACCAAACACAGGTCCGGGAATGCACAAGGGAGCAGTGTGGCACACGCTGCAGCTGGGCTGCTTTCCACTCCAGGGAATTAGTTTGGTTTGTTCCATGCTGCTTCTGCTACTTCAGAAACCCACAAAAAAAGATGGGGAATGTACAGGAACAAAACTTCACAAGTTTCTGCCCGTGTTTTTGCCCTCAGTTGAACAATCCCCTTTGTACTGCACAGACACACGATCACATTTCACAAGTGTGACTTGGGAGGGAGCAGGGGGAAGCAGGATTTGAAGTGTGCATCTCTTGCTGGGACCTTTGCCACCAGCTCCTGGGAGCCTTGAGCCCAAAGCCTCCCCTGGGGCTTCTGCTGCCCTCAGGGACACGTGGAGGGTGCAGCAGCTCTCCAAGCCTTCAGCACAGGGCAGAAACTAAAACCAAGCAGCCAGTGCAAAGTACATGGGACAGATTCCCTTTCCAAGGGGCGGTCCACCAGTTTGCATCCCCAAAAGACAGTGGGAATAATTTAAAATGGATATTTGGGTATTTCTGGGGCAGAGTAGGGTGTGTAGCTAGGAATCTCTCAAGGACACTGCGTGCCACAGGGTATTGTCAAGAGAAATAATCCTTGTCCATGGTTGGGGTTCTGTGAGATTCCAGAAGTGGAAACGTGGCCCAGCTGCTTCAGTTTTGACAACAGAATGTGAGAAATGACAAACGTGTGAAAGGACAAAATCATCTTGGACAGGTTTTTTCTACTGTACAGCCAGTTTAAAAAGGGGAAAGGGGAAAGGGGAAAGGGGAAAGGGGAAAGGGGAAAGGGGAAAGGGGAA